ACTGAGAGTTGTTTATTATAGTGGGGTATAGAGAAGGTTTTAACCATTACTGTGGACAATGCCTCTGCAAATAAAGTGGCAATTGATTGGGTGAGATATAAAATTCACAAATGGAACAATTCACATACTATTTTGGGTAGGAAGTACTTACATATGAGATGTTATGCTCACATCACTAATTTAATTGTGTTTAGTGTGTTGAGGAAGCTGCAAAAATCTGTTTTGGCAATTAGGAATGCTGTGAGGTATGTTCGGTCGTCTCCACAGAGATTGGATTATTTTAAAACCTCTATTGAGAAGGAGAAACTGACCTGCGAAGGTCTTGTATGCATGGATGTCCCCACAAGATGGAATTCAACATACATGATGTTGGATGCAACCTTGAAATTTAAGAAGGCTTTTACTAGAATGGCAGAGGATTTGAACAGCCCATTCATGGCTTATTTCAAAGAGCCAGATGAGGTAGTTGATGAGGATGGTGTAGTTCAGACTAATAGTAGGCAGTGTCAAGTTGGACCACCAACTGATGTAGATTGGGACAATGCAACAGTGTTTGCAAGGTTTTTGAAGGTGTTTTATGAGGTGACCTTGAAGGTGTGATTGTATCTTTGCAACCCCACAGTTCATAAAACATTTCATGCAGTTATTTCCATGGAAAATGAGATTGACAAGTTGTTTGTGGCACCTGAATTTGCCACTAGTTCAAATGCAAAGAAAGTGTTGACTGACATGGCTGGATCTATGAGAACAAAATACAATAAGTATTTTGTCAAATATCAAGATTTGAACATGTTGGTGTTGATTGCACTTGTTTTGGATCCAAGGTTCAAGTTGAGGCATATCACCCATCTCTTTAAGAAGGAAAATTTTGATGAGGATGATGTGCAAATAAAGACAAGATAAGTGAAAAGTGTGTTAATGGCCCTCTATGATGAGTATGTACCAAAGGTAGATAGTGGCATTCACATGAGACAGAATTCTACCACAGAATATGTAGGATCTGCAAGTGGTAGTAATAATATGGTTGGAGAAAATGTTGGTGATGATTTTTTAGATGATTTGATTAGGGAGGTGGAAGAGAGTGATGAGGCTGTGGTGTCACATGAAGTTGATTCTTACTTGGCAGATCCTTTGACATTTGTTTCCAAAGATGCATTTTTTGACATATTGATGTGGTGGAAACTCAATGGGCCCAAGTATCATGTCTTAGCAGCAATTGCGAAGGATGTCCTTTTAATTCAAACTTCCACAATGGCATCTGAGAGTTGTTTTAGCACTGGTGGCATAGTCATAGATGCATTTAGGAGTTCATTAACTCCTAAATCAGTGGAGGCTTTGCTATGCATGCAAAATTGGTTGAGAGGGGGTGAAATTTCAAGCTTGGAAGATACACCTTCGATTGAAGAATTTGAATTTTATGAAACCATTGAATCAGGTAAATTATTTTAAATACTGTTTGTTATTTATATCAGTTTGCATTGAATTCTTTCTAATAGTTGTTTGGGTAATTTGCAGAATATGCAAATGATGGGGATACTTGAATTCAAATCGTGGGCTACAAATGAAGCTTGGATTGCATAACTTTCTGTTTTTGTCATTTATGTTTGGATTGTGTTTGTATTTTTGTAAGCCATAAGGCATAATTTTAAGGGAGTTTCACTAAAACACCCAAAATGGAGGTTGAAATTATAAAAAAACCCAAGCACTATTTAAACATATAAACACACCCAAAACCCATCATTACACACACTCAAAACCCATTTATAAACACACCCAAAAAGTTGACTTTGGGGTTGATTTTGGGTGTGTTTCTATGTTTAAATAGTGCTTGGGTTTTTTTATAAATACATGTCTAGGATTGGGTTTATTTATAAATTTGTATAATTTTAACTATTTTGGTTTGTAAGCCATAAGGTATGAGTTTTAACCATTTGGATTTGATGAATCTGTTGATGGATAAATATTGATTTGGTTGATTTGGATATTGAATATGTTGATAGATATTGAATATGTTGAATCTTTGAATTTGTAAGTTAGGCATCACTTATTTTGGTGAATGAATATGTTGAATATTGAATTGGTTTATTTTTTAGTTGTGCCATTTTGGTAACGAAATGGTACCTATACCGTATCAATACCGATTTGGCATGGTACGGTACGGTACGAATTTTAGCAAACCATAATCTCATACTGTACCATACCGATTTAAATTTCCGGTATTGGTAGCGATACGGGCTCAATACCGTACCATACGGTACCGTGCCCACCCCTACTTTACAATTAATAAATAAAGCTCAATCACTCTCATCTAATTCAGCCTCAACTGGTTTAGTCCTTGTCTTGCCTACTAATTCATCTAAAAAATTAAACAGGGTGAGAGGTGAGCAAGCACCGCTTAGTGAGTAGATTATGTAATATGCCAGTCAAGCAATGTCGTTTTACACACTCTAGAAAATATCATGAAAATATACACAAGTCCAGATCATATCACATTGTCTCTTCATATCTCGGCTATCCTTCATAGCATGTAACCATTTGTCCCTGAGTCCTACTAGGGCAAGAAGGGTATTTTAGTAATTTAGGCCGACACATGCATGGTGTCAGATAAGGAGAGGGTTCATCATGGATTCCAAGGGGGAATTCAAGCGGGTCCTTTCAATTTGGTATCAGAGCATTAGGTTAAATTCCTGTAGACTCTGCAACTTGTGTACCTCCTTATTTCGGTGAAGTGTTTGACGTCCTATTATGTTGTCTTGCCTTCTCGACGTGGTTGAGCTCATATGCTGGTTGAGATTAACGACTGTTTGGAACATTTGAATTTCGTGTTTATCAAGATGACTGTGCCCATGGTGCTAAAAGTTTGGCACAACTGGTAAGTAATGTGGGTATGGGAATTTGAAGTACGGTGTGTTGACAATGGACAAAGTATTTTTCGATATACATATGCAGGATATCTCTCTGATCCACATAATGGTCGTTCACAAACTTGCTATGTATTTACCTGTGGAGGGACAACAATCTTATGGCGTTCCATAAAGCAAACATTAGTGGCTACATCCTCCAATCACTCAGAAATACTTGCACTCCATGAAGCGAGTCATGAATGCGTTTGGTTAATATCAATAATCCATCATATACGGAGCACATGTTATTTACCTTCACTGAAAAATACTCCAACAACCATATATGAAGATAATGCTGCTTGTATTGCTCAAATCAAGATAGGATACATTAAGGGAGATAGGACCAAACACATATCACCAAAGTTTTTCCACACACACGAACTTCAGGAGAATCAAGAAATTGAAGTCAAACAGATACTTTCAAGTGATAATCTGGTAGATCTTTTCACCAAATTGTTACTGAAATGCACATTTCAAAAACTGGTGCATGACATTGGATTACGTCGACTTTCCAATTAGTAAAATTAATGACATACTTATCAGGGGGAGCGTGCTATCAACAAAGTTTCTATACACTGTACTCTTTTCTCTTCGCCTAGGTTTTTATCTCAACGATTTTTTCCTGGCACGCATGTTAGTGTCATATACACATAATTTTATGTTATGTACTATTTTTCTCTTCGACCAGTTTTTGTCTCACTGAATTTTACTGGCAATGTTTTTAATGAAGCATATTCCATGCATGATGGACATCAAAGGGGGAGTGTTGCAAATACATGTTGTAAATCAGTATAGATTAATATGAATGCCCATCATTACCAATCATCCCTACCATTATATACTTACCCCACAATTCTATCATTATATTTGAAACCTATCATATGACTCACCACCCCATATTATATTTTAAATCGTAGTGAATGGTGTATTCAGTGGCAGACCCACAGAGGCGCAAGGAGGTGCAGTTGCACCTCCCATTGTCGGAAAAAGCTTTGGAGGTGTCGGAGTTGCCCCTTTGCTATGGTGCCCACCAACTGCTTGAGCAAATACCTTAACAATATTCTTCTTTCACTTGCCTTACTTTTTTTTTTTTAAAGTGCTGGCCAAAACGACATCGTTTTGGGCCAGGGCAAAAAAAAAAAACAAAAACCTTGCAAACTGCTGACACGGAATGAAAGCCTCCCAATCCAATTTGAAGAAGCTGTGCAAGGTGATATCACTGATATGCAGCAAATCTCAATTTGCTTTTAATCATGCAAGATGCCTCATCCCAAATCCTAATATGAATTTCAACAGAGATGGAGTCCTTGCCTTTGAATTTCAGCAATTTTAGTTCTGCTTCCTTTCCTCTGTTTTTGTTAGTGATAAGTTTTATTATTATTATTATTATTATTATTATTTTTATTCAGTCCTTGGCCAATATCAAAACCATTATTGTTGTTTTCTTTTTGTAGAGAACTCCAAGTCTTTTATAAAAACGGATTCATCGATCAAGTCTTGTGCCAAGGAACAAAATATTGTATCAATCAAGCCTCCAAAGTATGTTCGAATGTAATTCATAGTTAATCTAGAAAGAAAGAAAAAAAGATGAAACATGCTGCGCTTTTTTTTCTTCTTCTTTATCAACTGTTGCACTTGCACCAGTTTCGTTTTTGGCATATAAATGAAATTTGCATTGTTTAAATTATAAGGCTATTTGGTTGTAAATTTTTTTAAAGCTTTTAGTATTTCAAAATTGCACATCCACCGAAAAATTCTTAAATCCACCAATAAGTGTATTACTTATGCCTATAAATAGACACCAACAATAATAAGAATGAGGAACTAGAACACAAGAATAAATGAGTTTTCTTCTTCCAAATCTCTCTCCAAAATCCTCTTAATTTTATAACAGGATAGCAATTTAAAAGACACCTACAATTTGGTAACAATTCGAAACCACCTTCAAAATTCGGGAAGTTTCATGTAGTCAATTCAAAAATAAGTATTTCGTGGACCAATCTCATTTGGCAATTTGTCTCTAGTCTTTCACGAATTTTAGAAGCGACAAAAATAGAAATAGAGAAAGGACGAGCCCAATCTCTCAAATAATGTAGCTCTACCTCTACTTGACACCGTTGCTGTCCCCACATCCCGGCAACCTGAAAAAGAGCATATTATTCACCAAGGTTTGCCAACGAGGTGATGATCTCCCAAATTTTTTGACTCTGTTGTATTTCCATGAAGAAACCAGCGAAAATTTCAGAAAGAGAGAGACATATTCGACATGGGTTTCTCCAAAGACAATCTTAAAGGCTTTGTTTTGGCTTTGCTTTCAAGTGGGTTCATAGGGGCAAGCTTTATTATCAAGAAGAAAGGCCTCAGAAGAGCCGCAGCTGCTTCTGGGGTCAGAGCTGGTGACTTTCTGTTCATTTATTTATTCTCAATCTCGGTTTTTCTTTTACCTATATTGGTTTTATCAGATGGGGTTTTTTTTCTTCTATTGATTGGTTTGTTATTGATCCTTGATTGTTGTAGGTTATGGCGGGTACTCTTATCTCTTGGAGCCTCTGTGGTGGCTGGGCTTTATTACAAGTAAGCTTCTACTTCTGTTTTTGGCTTTTTGGTTCTGTTTCATAATGTTTGTAAGACAGCCAAAATTCTGATAACTGTTGTCGTTTTTTGTATATTTTTATCGTTGAATATAGATTCTGCAAATAGTTATGGCCATGTTGTCTATAAAACTTTATGGATTATGGTCATTACTTGCTCTTATGAGTTTTTGGTATTTCATCACCATTCGTGCTTCATTTTGTAATCGAGTTCAAGTGCTTGTCATGGGAAATAATTTTCTTCACCATGGAAGTAATGCTATTGTTGCGTTGTAGCAATTGATGTTTTCCAATGTCACTATGTCAGTTAAAAGAACGGGTTTTGGTACTCATTTTGTTCGTTCAATTCCACTGATGGTTTGCAGAATCTCTCTTGATTTATGATTTTTGATATAGTGATTGTTGGAGAGATTGCAAACTTTGTTGCCTATGCATTTGCTCCGGCAGTTCTTGTTACCCCTCTCGGTGCATTAAGTATAATTGTAAGGTAACTGCTCATATATTGCTTTTGATTCCGTGCTTGGTCGTTCGTATATATTTTTATCATGTCCTATGATGTTGTTAGGTTTTACTAATAATGTTTAAAAATTGAATGGTATGGTGTAGTGCTGTGCTGGCTCATTTTATCTTGAAGGAGAGGTTGCACCGGCTTGGAGTTTTGGGCTGTGTAATGTGCATTGCTGGGTCTATCATTATTGTTATCCATGCACCAAAGGAGCATTCTATAACGTCAGTTCTTGAAATATGGAGTATGGCAACTCAGCCAGGTTTGATTCAGGCTATTTGTTTTATTCGAATTCCTTTTTCTCTGTTTTCTTGAGCTTTATATGATTCTTCATTGGAAATTAACAGCATATACTGTCTATTTCAGCTTTTTTGCTTTATGTGGGCTCGGTGGTTGTTCTGGTTTTCATACTAGTCTTCCATTTTGCACCACAGTGTGGGCACACGAATGTGCTAGTTTTCACCGGCATTTGTTCATTGATGGGTTCTCTCTCGGTAAATTGTTTCAAGTACTTATAAGCTTTGGTTCATTTCTGTCTTACTGTATTGAGTTTCTCTCTTTTCAACCTATGGTGTTCTCCAAAAAAATAAAAATAAAGAGGAAACCTGATCCTCTCTCATTCTTCCTGTACTAAAATAATTATGCATTATACAGAATGTAAGAATTTAAACTTTAAGCACAAAGTTCACACATAAAACTAGTGTTCAAATTGTTCTAATATCAACCTGTAAGTTCTTCATGCTCAAATTTCATTCTAAAGTTACAGTACAGATTTATTTCGAGAAAGTATAGGGTGGGGACTGGGTGGGTAATTGATACATAAGTCAAACTGATTGCTTAGTTGGATGAAGACAAATTTCTGTTAGCACATCAATCTACACAGCCCCTGTAGTCTGCTTTAAATGATTTTTTGTTATCAAATTATTTCCTTTCAATTTTAATAATATCTGGATCTCTCGTAATTTACATGCATTGTTTTCCATGATTCTGCAGGTGATGAGTGTTAAAGCCCTAGGAACTGCTCTGAAATTAACTTTTGAGGGGAAGAATCAGTTAATCTATCCAGAGACGTGGTTTTTTATGTTGGTCGTAGCTACATGCGTTATCACTCAAATGAATTATTTGAATAAGGTTAGAAACTCCATTTCATTGTGAATATGTTAGATATGGACATAGTCTGATTCATAGGAGTCTTTTGGAAGTTCTTGCTCTTGTACTGTTCTTCCACCTTTCCCCTTCTCCAGAATAGTTTTCTGGCTATTCCCTTGTCCTGCCGTTTGCTTTGCTCTTGTGCATTGCATCTATCACTAACAGAAAAAGTAGTCTGAACATAAGTAGGCTTTTGTTTAGTCTATAAAATTTGACAAGTTCAGGGACGAGTGGTTCTACATACTTTTCAGAGGATGTATGGGAAACCCATCAAGTTTTGTTCAGTTTTAGACCTTTTCCCGTCTTTAAGATTAATCTTGTTCTATCCTCACTACTAAGTTAGTAAAAGAAAGCAGTTTTCTAATGAATATATGCTGCAAAAGAAAAAAAAATCGGTATTGAAAATACATTTGTACAACTCAAAGTCTGTAGCTGCCTTCGGTGGAGGCTTTAACTACAATTAATCATAGGATAATTTCATGTCATATGATCTTTTCAAATTTCTGTGTAATGTTCAGTATAGTTTCCATGTTAACATGTGGTTGCCACATCTCTTACTCATATTTTCATATAATTTTTTTTTCTTCACTAGAGTGGTTGGTGGCATTGATAACATATTACATGTCATTTAAAGAGTGGTGGTGATGCAGGACAAAGAGAAATAATATCCAAGTAAGATCAAAATGGAAATTTATGGAATGCAAGGAGAAAATTAAAAGAAAACGATAGAAACTAATAGCATCACACCAATAGTGTTTTTGGAATCACTTATAGAGGCCTTAGGCATCACACCTAGGCTCAGGTTGCATCGTACATACCTTGAGAGAAGTAAAGCTGATGTTACTTTATTCAATCATCAAAATCTGTTCTCTATGATCACGACTAGATAATTTATAGAACCTAAACCTAAGAACTTTGGATAAAAAAGTACTAAAATATCCTTCACTTAAACAGCCTTAAAACGACTCTTCAAACAGAAAACGGAAGAGAAACCCTAGGTATATTTAAGTATCCTTACCTTAAATAATGTTAAAATAAAACAGTCCACCATTATTGACTGAACTTGCCCAAGCCCAACTATTTACTATCCTTAATGCACCCAACCCAACTGTGCCACACTACGGCTTGAGCCTTGGATATACCATGCCTTTGATAAACCTTTAAGGGTTCCTGCCACTTTTGTTTCTCCTCAGTTGGTGGTAGAGGATATTTTCTGAATGTTGCATGTTTATCCCTTGGATTCTAGTTTGGAGCTCAACTGAAGCCATCAAGCATGGCTCATTGATGTAATTCCTCAGGATAGTTTAATTACTTCAATTCTTGCCGGCAAGAACACGATTTTGCACAAGTTTCCAGTTGCCTAAGATTTCCTAGGTTATATTTGTTAGAATGTTTCATATCTTACATTCAATGAACCAATGTGGTAGAACATAGCTGGCTTGCCTATTTGGGTCATGGCTGGAATCTGGGCTGCATATTAAGATTCTTTAGAAATACTCAGTTAGTCAATTCAATTTAACTCACATTCTGCTATTGAGTTGAGAATACATGAAAATAGTTATTCTGAAATTTCCAGGAGTTTGCTTTACTGATTCCTCTCTTTTATTTATTTATTTTTTGTGAAATCCTGAATAGGAGGGGCATAATGAAAAAAAAGAAAGTAATGAGGTCGGTATTGTAGAGAATAAAGAACCTAAGGGCCCATTTCTGAGGAGTGATTTCAAATATAGGGACTTACTTAATATTTATTATTTATAGCTAAATTGCTCAATTGGACGGGACGGTAATAGTCCTTTTAGACTTGTTTTAATTAATTTAGCCTTATTATCTCAACTGAATTCTTTACTTTAAATTATTCCATCCCATGACACTGTAATTTAGTTTATGTATAATATAAGGCAGCATTTTTTTACTAGGTGGAAAAGCATTCAGATCAGAAAGAAAGCATGCAATCCTTAGTTATGCATCCACAGCTTTTTTAATTTGGTACAACTATTTGGGTCTCATCTAGTTCATTACAATAAAAGATATATAACTTGGTTTGTCAACATTTCTGTAAGCATCTTAAAAAACATAATTAAAAGGTAAAAATAATTTGAGGGTTATTCTTTATTGCAGTAGTAGTTTGGCTCTTGCTTTTTGCGCGTGCATGAACATATATATGGATACATTCAAGGATACATGTATACCATATATATGTATGTTTCTTTAGAAGAATTAAAGGAATCTTTGTATTCATATTTTCTACTGAACCACTCAACTCTGATTTTTCAGGCGCTTGATACATTCAACACTGCAGTCGTGTCCCCTATTTATTATGTCATGTTTACAACGCTGGCAATCATTGCTAGTGTCATAATGTTTAAGGTATTGTTCCCTTAAAAAAAAAAAAAAAATTGTTTAAGGTATTGTTAAGTGATAGTATTATAAGTTGGACATGTCATGGTGTTATCTCTTTGCCAAGTCTAGCTTCAGTTCCAAGTTGGATTGTTGTTAATGTGATTGATTTTAACAGAAGGCATGAATCTGGAATGTGACTACAAGGCATACACTGAAAAGTAGCTCCAGTAGATCCTTGTGTGGATAATAACATCTGATTTGGCATTTCAAGCAAAGATCATCCAGTTAAGAAAATCACACTTTTTATGAGGCTAAAGCCAGGTCCATTAATTTAGTTGACATGAAAAAATGTTGGTTCTTTGGTTGATTGGAATTGGTAAGGGACTTCATAAAAAGCTGACGAAAGTGTACAATGTCAGTGCTACTAACTATACTTAAAATTAACCTATATTAGAATTAGTCAAACTTAGCCATCCAGTACTCTTGATCCAAATTGGAGGGCTAACTTTATGACAGGGAGAATTCTACAAGGGTTTGCTCTACTTTTTGTATCAGAATTGTTGTTCAGACACTCAATTTCTACTGCTTAAAATGTGATGTATATCTGCACTATAAAAGAGAAGAAACAGAGTCAGATTTCAGTTTCTTGGTTAGACCAACTTACAGAAAATAGGTTAGACCAACTTACAGAAAATATTTTTTTGCATAGAATGCTATGTGACCATTCTTTCTAGCAAAATATTTTTTGTTCTTCTACTAAAACCACAGGCTGTTGATTGTGGAGTTAGTTTGATGACATTAATTACATACTGCTTTTTATGATTTTAGGATTGGGATGACCAAAGTGGGGGAGCCATCCTATCAGAAATATGTGGATTTATTGTTGTATTATGTGGGACCATCTTATTGCATTCAACAAAAGAATTTGAAAGAAGCTCTTCGTTTAGAGGTGTGAGACCAATCTGTTCTTTTACCTTTTTTTTTTCTCTCTCTACTCTAGTATCATCTATTTCCTAACCAGTTGACTCTCTTAAATTTCCAATTATTTTGTGCTTTATGCTTGTTGAAATAAACAGGTGGTAGCTATATGCCTGTGTCACCTTCATTATCTGCGCGACTTTGTAGTGGCGGGAATGGAGAATTAGAGAAACATGAAGAAGAAGATGGGTCACCTTCGGAGGAAATTTGCTTAAGAAGACAAGAATTGTACTAGATCATATCTAGGATGATACCATTCCATTCCATATACCTACAAGGCAAGCAAGAGTTAAGTGCCAACCATTGTTTTACCATTGTCCATTAGATGAATCTATGCTTGCCCCATCTTTGTCAAATCCAAACTTACAGTGCTGGGTGGTGGCTGTTTGCTGAACTGCCAACTGCATTTTCTGTGTAGACGAGGAGGAATGGATTGACAATGCTGACTGAACCTAGGGCTTCGCAGACAGTTCGTCCAAGATTTCAATAATGGGTGGTTTGTTCACATTATGAAATAAGGAAAGATAGCTTTAAAATCATGTGAAGCCAAAGCAGACATGAAGACCTGGATTTTATATCCAGGCAGGGCTTTTCTTTGTTGAGGTTAACTACGGCGAAAATTGATGTATGAAGGAGCTCAAGGTCAGTGGGGAGTTGAAGTTTCTGCCCAATTTTTTTTCCTGGTGACTTCAAACATAGATTTTTTTAGTTTGCTTATTGGTATTAATTCTTTTAGGGGTGGTTGGGGTTGGTGATTTTCCCTTTTTCGCTTTTTGGAAGGCATAATAAGAAATACGTCTTTGTAGAGTTCTGTAACCGCTTATGATTGTACTTTTTGAAGATTGCTGAGTTGATCTAGAAATGTTTATGCACACACATTGTGTTTGTGACTTTTGTTGGATCAATACAACTGTTTTTCTGATCAAATAAAAACCAATTCTAATACCTTTTCTTCTGTGCAAATCGATTTTCTAGTACCAATCCATCATGTCCTTGTGGATCAATCCCTACAAATTCTGTTTAAATGAAATACTACAGAGACTTGTCATTTTGTGTGAGCCATCCTTGTGTGATTGGATACACATTTACTGCAGGCTTTTTAAAAATAAAAATAAAACTAAATGGTTGGTTTCATAAAAGACTTACGTTTGATGCATTAGTTAAAACATTGTTTAAGCAATTCATCTTCGGTTTAGTCATCTCTACACGGATTTTGGTTGTCTAGCTCAAGCAGTGAATGTGCTTGTGAGAGATGACACTGTGAAAGCATTGAATGTGCTTTTCTTGTTGCCATTCTGATAGGAGAGACATATATAAAGAGAGGAGATTTTAGGGTTGGTTGTCAGGGAAGGGAGAAGAATTTACATAACAGGGATGCCACTGTGGCATCTCAAGCCTATCACATCTTGCCATGTTGGAAAGTTGTGTTGCCATATCGGAAAGTTAAAACACATGGCAATGAGTGATTGGCACGAGATAACACTACAGTGGTATTTCCGGTATAAAAAAGCTTTTCTCTTGGGAAGGGACCGCGTGTTGTCAGCCACTGGCGAATGCAAAGGGGGGTTATTGGGGTTGATTTGCCCCATGAAATTAGTTCAAATGTGCATATTTGATGGTTTTATTGATACGTGATAGCTAGTGCATGGGCATATTGGATGGCTTTTTTGATATGTGATAGCTAGGGTAACAAAGAGGGAAAAATAAATGAAACTTAATTTTCATTTTCTGGCTAGGAAAGCAATTAGAGTAAAAAAAAAAAAAACTATTGTTTAATTTTTGCAGTTTTTTTTGTCAAAAAAAAATGTATGGAGTCTTTTACACCAAGACTCCTTGGGGTACAAAACTTGGATCCGCCACTGTTGTCGTCGGCGGTTCAGTTGGTGAGTTTTTTTCCTTTAGTTTTTGTCTTCAAGGGCATATTAGTAACTTCATATTTTGCTGGACAGGAACAGACAAGCAAAACGCAAAACAAACAAGGAGAGGCCAATTGGTCTAGTCTAGTTAAAAAAAAGGCATTGATTTGTAGACCAGTAATCTCATGCTCGTACCTTATGATACTTTAGTAGTAGGTGTGCGTGAAACCCCTTATCATGACACTTTGATAGTGTATGACAAAACAAAAACAAAAAACTATGGATTGTAAACCAGGGAGAGAAAAAAATAAGGGGTTATTTACTGTAGATGTCCCTGAACTTGGCCCCCATTTGCAATTGGGTCCGTGAACTTTTTTTTCCGGCAATTACATTCGTTAACTCGATAAATAGTTCCAATTGGATCCTACCGTCCAACTGTGTCAATTTATCTGTCAAAGTGACAGGGTAAAAGCGTCCTTTTAGGTTCTTCATCCATCATTGACCACAACCTCACCTTCTTCATCCATCATCAACCCTAACAACCCCACCTTCATCTTCACAAGTTTACAATACAAATCCATATCAAACAATTTGTGATTGGTAGAAACCACATAAAAGAATTTAACCACAAAAAGAAAAAAAACCATGCTATGAATTCAAAGGTCCATAAAATTTGTAGAACCCATTTGTGCACTGACAATTCCTACAAGCCTCACTGCTCTAAAACCCAACCTGACAACACAAACACACCGCCTAAGCCACCATCGCCGTCTGCATTGTCCCAAGGCGAAAGAGGGGGAATGGGTTGCGAGAGAGAAGGAGAGACAGAGCGAAAGATAGAGGGATTGGGATTGACCCTTCTTCCTCTGCGATTTTCATCCAAAACCTAATTATGTGATTGCATTTGGTACATTTCAGAAACAATAAATGATTTTTATAATCTGCAATTTCTTGGAAGCTTTGTTTTTTCGGAAATGTAATTTGATTGTTTGTGCACAGAGCAAAGCATAGCAAATTGATGGAAGGTTTTCACAGCAACTCGAGAATGGCGAAATTGCTCAAAGGAAACTTGGAGAATGTGGACCTTAACTCGCCAATGTTCAGGTACTTGTGCGCTCAATCTCAGAGTCAGTCGCTGATGGACGCCTTGAAGCAGCGTCGTCGCCACCTCTCACTGCTTTTTCCTTCGGAGAATCTGATGGAGAGGCCACAACCTTCGATAGTTTATAGAACGCCGGTGAGAGGGGTGCAGAGGGAGGAGGTTCTGGTCATGGATTGTGTTTCGGTCGCCGGAGGAGGAAGGAGCTCAAGGTCTGCTTCTGATATGTCGTCATCTTCTTCTTCTTCGGATTCTTCGGGGAAGATTCTGTACAAGACCGACCTTTGCAGGTCCTGGGAGGATTCTGGAAGTTGTCGCTACACCTCCAAAGGCCTGGAAGAGACAGAGCAAAAGAGAGAGAAAGGGATTTGGATTTGGAATTTTCATTTTTAAGTTTACTTATTATTTTAATTTAATTTTTTTTCTTCACTTTTTTCAGTTTTTTTCTTTAATTTTAAAATTTTAAAAATATTTTAATTTAGATGGATGGTTTTAGCCCTCAAATTAACGGCCAAATTGACGGAAGGACTCAATTGGAACTATTTATCAAGTTAACGGATGTAATTGCAGAAAAAAAAAGTTCACTGACCCAATTGCAAATGGGGACCAAGTTCAGGGACATCAATAGTAAATAACCCAAAAAATAAATATGTTTTTTGGGTTGAGAGACCAAACAAGACTTAGCACTGAAGTAATTTATTAAAAAAAATATCTTCATATATCAAACAAAGTCCCTCCCAAAAGAAAGCGAAAGAGGAAGGAGGCTCAATTTGGGCTTTTACTCGTCTATCTGAACCGTGAAGCAAAAACCCCAAAACACACCAACCAAACGAGAATGGCAGCGAATGTTGGGAAATTCTTCGAGTCGGTTGGCAACTTCTTCTCCGGTGGCGATCAGATCCCATGGTGCGACCGTGACGTTATCGCTGTAAGCATTTTTCCTAGCATTTTTCTAAACTTATTTGTTATTATTTATTGCTTAAAATTTTGGCATACATGTGAAATTGGTTTGCAGCTTATGGTTTTAAGAGCTAATTAACTTTCGATAGAATTAATTCGATTATTTGATTTTCTAGGGTATATTAAAAGACTTTGCTTGTCAAGGTTTTGTTGTTAGCTTGCTTGTATGTATAAATCCGTCTTATAATTGATCATGGTTTTCATTTTCTCCAGATTTTTACTTCTCTAATTGCAATTATTTGGCTACTTCGTTGAATTATTTAATGGATAATAATAATAACGATGTGGGGATTAAATCAGATGAATGTAAAATTGAATCCCCTATTAAAGCATCGTTGCGGGATACTCCATTTGTTAAGAGTTTCGATTTCAGCAGCTCCTTTGCAATTTCGGGTTTGAAACAGCTTTTACAAAAACAATTAGCATCTCATTGTAGAAAGTGTAGAGGTTCTTAAGAAGTAATAACCAACCTTACAATCTTTCCAGATCAGAGTGTTTTGTCTATATTATGATGCACTGATGTATTCCCTTTTGTTTTATTCTTCCCAATTATTATTATTTTCTTTTTAAAATAAAAAAATAAAAAAATCATGTTGCTTTTTACTAGAAACTGCATTGTGGTTGTAGCTCGCATGATAGTTTCAGTTTAATTTCCTACAAGTGAAAACAATCAAGTGCTTTACGTATTGTGATGAGTAAGATAAAGAATATGGATCTTGTTACAACTCTAATGCTCAAGTAACTATGTCTTCTACCCCTTGACTCCTCGAACTAATGAGGAGTAGTAACTAGTTCTTAACGATCTATGAGAGCCAACCCGCATTACTGGGGTTGGAGTTCCGTAAGGGCTATCCAGAGGTTGGAGTATAATGCCTTGGTAGAATAGTGCTTAGTCATTGAATACCAGTAGATGTGTGAACCTACTAGGGAATATGGCTACCACCTCACCAAGGTAAAAGTGGTACCTTGTGATTTGGAACCATGGTGGGATCTTACGGTCTTAAAGATTAAATAACTAAGCCTTACACAGCTCTAATATTGACTGGTTCATAACAGAGTCCTAATCAGCATCGTGGTGTCAGCTGGAATGGTCAGGCATATGGTTTGCTCCCGTGTGGTCTGTTTGAAACTCCCAAAAGGATCTACCTAGCTATTTGCTAGTCTTTTCTGCCGCCCAAAAATTGTAGGGTTTGGTGAGGGGCCCCAGTTTCAAATCTGTGTCCGCACAATGGATTGGTGCATTTGTGGGTATTAAAAAAGAAAAAAGAAACAGAGTCCTACTCCCAAAAAATGTGGAAATAAATGACTAGTAATTTTTGAGCATTCTAAAATGTAAATGCATTTTAAGGACTGCAAGAATTTATTGATGAGTGTTTGGCAGGAGTGGTCATGTTGCATGCCACACTCATCTGATGTTTTCATGTTTCTGAATACATGTTATGACAGGGTTGTGAAAGGGAGGTTTCTGATGCTCAGAAAGGTTCCTCTGATGAATTTTTTAAAGAATGTATCATGCGATTATCATGGGCTCTTGTTCATTCAAGACAGCCAGAAGATGTGCAACGTGGGATAGCAATGCTTGAAGGTTCTTTGTCTCCATCTCTGTCTCTGTCTCTGTCTCTGTCTCTGTCTCTGTCTCTGTCTCTGTCTCTGTCTCTCTCTCACACACCCACACACCCACACACTTTTTCGTTAGGGCTTCTTAGATAAGGTAGTCAGCTTGCCATGTCTCATTTGACTGTATGATGTCTTTAGTTACACAGTGCACCACCTTCATGCTGTTCAATTTATTGATTTTTTGTGCCTTTTTCTGACTTGATATATTTATAATTTGCAGCCTCTGTGGCTGATGCTAATGCTAATGCTAATGCCAGCCCTCTGCAATTGAGAGAGAAGCTGTATCTTCTTGCTGTTGGGTATCACAGAGGTGGTGACCATTCTAGGAGTAGGGAACTTGTGGAACAGTGTTTGATGGTATGATTTTATTTTACGGATTGGATTATGCAAATGTACCAGAGCTTAACGCACGGCC